AATAATATATATATATATATATATATATATATATATATATATAAACATGACTATCATTTATATCGTAAATCATACCAGATATTCAACTTTTATTATAATAAAAATATGTATTGTCAAATTTATTTATTTTTATCAATATAATATTTATAAACAATAATAATATTATAAACAAATAATATTGTTGGTAGCTTTTACTAAAATTATATTTCTGTAATGTTGTAATATATATGATTCTTCTATTAGAAATATAAATTCATCATTATTCTAAATCTTAAATGTGATAATTTAATAATAAGTTAATGAAATTTAAAGTTGACAATAATTTTAATAAAAGAATCTTTCGAGGAAAGTATATTGAATATTATAGTTCATTCATTGTTCATAATTCGATATAATTTTTTATCGATAAAAAAATATTATCGTATAATATTCTTTGATTTATATAATGCTTGAACTTGTTCATGTTCGCTTGACGATTTATAACCAATGCTACTTTTGCAGTTTGATTAGGTATGTGATTGGTTGTTTTTTTTTTGTTAATAACTCATTAACAAAGCTGAAACGAAACTTTTTATAAAGAAAAATATTGAAATTAGAAATCTTCAATTAAACATTTCTATATTTTTGGAATATGTTTATATATATATTTGATCTTATCTTATTTAGAAAAACATTAAAAAAGTTTTATTGAAAAAAATTACAAAATTTCATTATTGCATTAATTTATTTTATTGATATATTTATTTTGATTATCTTTTTTTTGCTCTTTTAGTTGCTATCTTTTCCTAATTTTTTAAGATATGAAAAAAAAATTTTGGAATTTCGAGTTATATTGAAATTAAGAAAGATTAATTTGTTGATATAAATGACATTTTTACATTACATTATTCATGTACATTTCTATTGATTAACAAATTTATTTTTTATATATTATTATTTATATATTTATATTTTTTATATGTTGCAAATAATGTTACACGAATAAAATTGGATAAGAAATATTATGTCAAAATAAAGATTATCTAGAAAAATCATTATCATATATGAATGTT